TTACAGCAGTTATCTAAAAAGAAAATCAACATTGGGGCAATAATTGCAGAAAATCTTGGGTACTGCTAAGGAAGATGAGCAGGTTAAAGTTACCAAAACTGCTCGATTGTTGCATTCAGCTATAAGGCTTTTAACTTTAGTGCTCCTTAAAAGGTGGAAGTCTGCACTATAGTTCTGCCTTCAGAAAGAGGTCCTAACGTGTGCTTTTTCACTCACTTCTGATGTTAGTTTGGTTTTGTTCTTGCAGTCAGAGAAGAACTAGTGTAGGGCAGAAGCACTGACTCCCAGTAAGTGTGCTTTCAGTATGTCTAGTAAATGCATTGAATATGCAATACTCTGAAGGTGTCTGTTGTGGAAGAGTCATGAGGGAGCTGGAAGGTAGCTCAAGTTACCTGATCCACCTCTTCACTCAGAGTAAGGGCTATCTTGAATTGGATTGCTTGGAGTTCTGCCCCATCAAGTTTTAAATGTCTCAAAGAATGGAGATTGCACAAACTTTGGGTAGTCCCTTCAAAGTGAAAGTATTTAAACATTGATACACTTCCCCACACACACTACAGAATTTCTCTTTATGTGACTTGTCTATTGACTCACTCGCTAGACAGAAGAGTCCAGCTCCAACTACCTACTGGGGCGTATAGCGAAGATAAAGACCAGCTCTAAAATTTCCCTTTTCACCCTCTCTTCCTAAGATTGTATAGGCCCTCTGATGGCCTTTGCTGGACTTGCTCTACTATGGCAAATGAGTTGTACAGGACAGCCACAAACTGAGTGTTGTACTCCAGTGGAGCCTCAAAAGTACCAAACAGAGGGGAATAAACACTTCACCAACCTCCTGGTTATGCTCTGTTTGAAACTGTTGGGCATAGTTTGCCTTTTTTTGCAGTAAGGGCTCACTGCTGACCTACGCTTAAATTACAGGCCCTAGAGGCCTGTGGTGCCAAACTGGAACCTAGCCAGCTGGTCACCAGCCTCTGCTGATACTTGGGGTTGTGCCAGCTGCAGCACTTTGCGTTTGCCTGTGTTGAAGTTCAGTGAGTCCGTGTCGGCCATGTTCTGCGGCCTGTTGAATGTCTTTCTGAATGGCAGCCCTGCCCTCCAGTGTCAGCTGCTCTGCAAGTTCTGTATGAGCTGTGGACTGGCAGAGAATGTGCTTTGTCCCGTTATTCAGACAATTAATAAAGATGTTAAAAGTATCGCCTCAGTGTTGACTCGTGAGAAGTGCTGCTAGGAGACAGCTGCCAGTTGGTTTCTGTACAACTGGTTACGAGGCTTCCAAGCCTGGCAGTTGAACTGATTTTTCCACTTGCATTATTGTCCACTTTTCCATATTTTAACAATTTGGTTTTAAAGATACTATGGGAGACTGTCAGGAGCCTTGCTGTCATCTGTAGCCTGTTATCTCATCACAGCAGGTAGTCAGGTTGATAAAATGTCACTTGTACTTGGAAATCTTGGCTGTTCTTAGTCACATTTTTGTTCTTCAGGTGCCTGGATGTGGTTTCCTGAAGAATTTGCCCCATAGTCTTTCTGGGGACAGGTTATGCTGACTGGCCTGTAGTTCCCCAGAGTCTCCTCCCCTTGGTCTTGAAAATGGGCATGGTGGTTTCTTCCAGTCACGCGGAACCTTCCCCCAGTGGACGTGACCTTCCAGAGCTAGTATTGGTCTTGCAGTGACATCCATGATCTCCATTGACACCCTTCGCTCCTGTTTGGTACCATGGATGCTAACATGATTGTCTTAACGTCTCATCTGTTGTGCTGCTTCGTGCCCCTTCCCTGCCCCCAACTCTGCCACTGCTCATAGGGACCAGGAGGGCCACAGTCCAGTCCTTAACAGTGAAACTCGAGGCAAAGTTGTTGAGTACCTTAGCCTCTTCAGTGTCCTCTGTTACTTGATACCCTGTCTTGTTGAGCTGTTCTCACACTTTCCTTGGCCTTCCTTTTGCTTTCAGTCTTATATTTTCCTCAGCAAAGCGAAGGAAACCAGACGGATGCTCATGTCCGTCAGCTTGGCCCCCGGAGCCTTGTATTTACTCTGGATGTGCGGTGTGATGGGTGTCCAGGTGTGTGAGCAGCAAGGGGTGATAGTATGAGGACAAGCCTTGGTAGCTTCTCTGCAATATCCCAGATCCAAGTCCCTGTCAAGCACCAAACCTAGTGAGACATGAAGTCCCATTAGCAGCTGAAGGTGGCAAATGCTTAGGTAGGATTTTAGCAATGACAACCGATAACTTGCTTTGTTTCCTTCCTCCTTTCCTGTCTTACCTATTACATTAAAGACTGGTTACAGCTGCAAATCCTGTTTATTTAAGGGTTAGTCAGGACATCATGTTACTTTAATGTCATGACTAGTGTAGGCTGTGGAGTACAGTAATACCAGTTTCCAGAATCAGGAATATATTTTGTGCTATCTTATCATCTTACACAGAAACATACATAATATGCTTTACTTTTTCTTGACTTCCTTGTGCTTCTTGTGACAACAAGATCTCCTACAGATACTTAACACCTGTGTTGCAGAACACCACCCAGTGTTCTTGCTCATCCTCTAAAATTTCATGATTCATTGTGTGCTAGATGAGCAAGCAGGAAGGAGGTTGCTATAATGAGCTTTGTAGGAGTATACACATCTTTCTGTGGTACCCTTTTGATTGCTGGGATCTTCACTTGGTACTTGCTGGGAATGATTTTCTTCTAAACTTGCCTGTGTTCCCAGTTTAGTGAAAGAATGCCCCAAAGTCATCCAGATGCATAGTCTCCTTGGAGAGCCCCATATGCTTAGCTTCATATTCTAGAGACTGACAGACCATCCAGGGGATGAATGGATCTGTATCAACTTGCCACTGGACACAGACTTCAGTGGTGAAGTAATACTCGAGTTTATTCCGTATAGTACACACATATGCTGTGGTATACTTGGAGCACATACACGTAATCGGGAAGTAAGGAGGGAAGAACCCTGTGTTAGTTATACTCCACTTTAATTTGGGATGTCTGATAGTATTGTTTCATAGTTACTCAAGAGGAGTCCTTAGTTCTGAGACTATTATGACAGCTATGGATCAATGTAAATGAAACTTTCACTGCAAGAATGTAATCTTCCCCTCATGAATCTTTTGCTGGGAGCAAAGCTTCACGCCTTAGTGGGAAGATGCTTCGCCCAGGAGTTAAATCCATGATCTCTTGTGCAGAGATTTATGGAGTGCAGTTTGTGCAGTATTAGAAAGGAAATAGGTAGTGATATCAAAACATCAGAGTTGGTCTGAAATTAGCATCTGATATTGAACATCAATATCTAATTTATTAAAGGACATCTAATCATTAAATGCAAAGATGCCTTTTACTGTGAGTGGTTAATGGGAAGGTCTTGGGTATTTTCATAGCACTTGGTTATGGGAAGTAACTCAGGAACTTGAAAAACAAGTGTTGCGTGTTGCAATGTGGAATGCAGTTTATTGCTGTCTTTTGACAGCCCGCGCTACAAGGCTCTTTGGTTACTCTGGGATTCCAGTGGTCATAGCATTAGCCCCATTTAATTCTGATAATTCAGAAAATAGAATTGATTCTGATATATATAGAAGATGCAACAGGGGCTATCGAAAGCAAACCTGAGGTTAGTAATAGTGTTAGAAGTCCTGCCAACTTAAAACACAGCTCACTAGAACCAGGGAACATTGTCATGTATCAAACTAATTCTTAAACTTAAGATGTGTTGTGACTGATGTGAGAAGCATTTTTACTGAACATGTAGCCACAAATTGCCTACAGTTAGTTAGCTTCAATTTGTCACCGTTAGGAATTTCTGCATGGTGATGTCTTAATTTTTTCAGTGCAAGTCACCCTAGATTGGTTTTCCTGCTAGGGACATTAAGTGCTGGAACCTCTTTCCAGTTGCTTTTTCTTCTGTGTTAGACTCTAGACATCTTTCCATGTGTAACGTCTCTTTTTTTTTTTTCTTCCTTCCTTCACTCCTCAGATTTCCAGAATAAGAAGTGGTAGGGCCTTGATCACTCCGAGCATTGCACTATGTGTACAGGTTTAGTGGATGAACTTCAGCTTGAGACCTGTTCAGCGTGGAGGGTCTCTGGGTCAGCTTTCACAGCATCAAAACTGTCAGGATGGGAAATCCCTCAATCTTAGAGTAAATGCACTGCATGTGGATTAGTTTCGAAGGAAATGGTGTATCTGTATCCAGTAGAAGGATGTTTTCATCTTAAAAAAGGAAATCAGTCACGATCCAGTTTGGTCTGGATTGTGAGTGTTGTACTACAGTCTCTGCTGTGTATATTGTGCTTTGCTTTCTCTTTCTTAATTTCCCTGAGACTTCTTGCGTCTCTAACTACCAGGAAACCTGCATCTTCGTATGACCCCGACCTCACCCTTTTGGTAAATGAGTCCTTTCTGAGCCTCTCCCATTGCACTGCTGCTTATGTAGCTTCAGGATGTTCCCCCCCCACACACCACTTTCCTCAGACTAGTGAGTGACAGCTTTAATAATTCCCAGAGAAATGAATTGACTGGCTCGTCTTGCTAGTGTTAACCCTAAATGTAAAATTGTACACTCTCAGCATTTAGTTACTCATTTTGAAAACTTAGTCTTCATTCTGGTTTCTTAAATGGCACTAAATGCTTTGATACAAAATCATCCTTTGTCTTTTATACAATAATTTCTGTAATTCTATTTATATGTACACGTGTACATGGAGAAACATAAAAATTGCAGAAGAGTTACAACTGCAGAGTAGGCTTTTTGAGTTGAGCCATTTCAGTTAACTTTCAGTACTTTGAGATTGGGAAGTTTTACTGTAGGATTAGAGAAGTGAAAGGACATTGTACTGTTAAAATCCCAAGGCAAACATGTCAATACAGTAATGACTCAGAAGAATGGTGTACAATTATTAGAATACAGTCAAGTATTAGGACAGATAATATAAAATTACACTGGTTTCATTTTAGCGAAGACTTTTAATGACTTTTTTTTTTTACACATTTTGTAGGATTCACATGATGCTTTACTGGAATTTGGGAATAACAACCTCCAAATATTGGTGGATATCACAAGGGAAGGAGTATGGAAAAATCCAGTTCTTCTTAAAATTCTATCCCAGCAACCAGTAGAAACTGAGGAAGGTAAGAATGTGATTTTAGAGATTGTATGTGATGATTATTAAGAAATTACTTGGTGCAGTTTTGGTGAGGAATCAGTGATTTGAAGTCAGAAGAGAGCTGTATTTTAAATTGCGCTGTGCAATAGTATTCATGCGTTGCTAAACGATACTTACGATGAAACTGTCTGACTGGCACTCTGAATAATGTGGCCTTGCTAATGCATCTCGGCTTGGGCTATATCATCCATCAGTTTGAATATTTTGAAACTCCATTTTTAAAAAGAATTACTTCTTTTTCCATAGTAAGAATATGGGAATTTTGCTCCCTGAGGTGGTTTGTTCTTCATAACTCTGTGCTTTTAAATGTTTTCCTGAATGCTTCACAGGGAGGAGGAATTGTGTATGTCCACACCTTTCAGAGGCATAAAAGATGCATGTGGAGGGGCGACGTGAGTGTGGAGGTTGACTTTTGTTAAGCTCTGGGCTGGGAAGCTTATTGCGTTTAGACTATGGAAATAAGATCTTGAATCAGAAAATGTTGAGAGGTGAGGAAAAGGAGGTTTTAGTGTCACTTTATGTAATTTTTGAATGTCTTCTCTTAAACTCTTTTTCTTTTACTCACTGAAATTTTTTCATCTCTATTAGTGGTACCGTTAAGTACTTGCAGGTATTTCTTCTTTTAACTGTTCCATTAACAGTACACGAGACTGCAGTTTACCTCAGTGGTAATCTGAAGTTAAAAACAATATAGAGGGGAAGAGAGCTTAAAATATTTTCTTAAAAATTAAAGAAGCACAAAAAGGGATTTTAAGTCAAGCTTTCTTCCATAGCAGAATCCTTCTTTCTGGCTTTGGGTAGCCTCTCTTTGAGTTGTGTTAAGTTAGTGCTCTTTAATAAATAAATGAGAAACATGATCAGGTTATTGAGAGGATATGTTGCTTCCCTGTGCTAGAAAGCATTAAAAAAAAGCAGCCAAGGGTAGACTGCCGTCATTGTTAGCCTTCACTTCAAGTATTCAATAGTATGGCAGAAACATTTGAACTCCAAAGAGCATTTAATCCTATCTTCAATGTGTCTTGAAAAGAATTGCATTCCATACTAACGTCCTGTTTTGGAGTCTTTCATTTAGAGTATTGTTAGGCCATCCAGTGGCACGGTTGCCGCTCTTAGTTTGTTTCTACTAGAAAGGACTTGTGTTTCAAAATTGGTCCATATTACTGAAAACCTTCAGCTATTGAAGAATCCCTTACTCGGAGAGTGGTATACCAGTGAGGGCTAATGGTTAGCTAGCTTTGCAACCTCCCTTTACCTGTGGCAAGCCACGAGCTGTTCTGGAGGCCTGGTATGAATTCCAGTAGGAGCAATTTCCTCTTGTATCTGTGTGGACTCATTTGCTGCTTACACACGTGACTGGTTTTATCAATGGCTGTGTTACTAAATGCTGCTACGCTGCTTCATTCCGGTGCAGGAGGACCTTGACATGGTTCAGACTACCTCTTGACTTCAGCAGTAATGGGATAGAACTTGTTCATTCAGTCCTTTGGCTTTTAATTTGGGTTGAAGTTTCTGCTGGCAAACTGATGGGCTGACACATCTCTGACCATGTTGAATTGGGCTGAGTGTAGGTTCCCATTTCTGAGGCCACTTGGCAACCTTGAAACTATTGATTTCTTAGTGTTCTTTATTTAGTCCATATTTGTCTGTTTAGCTAGATCTGAGTGTGAGCCCAGAAGAGTTGTCCTCACTGGTGTTTCTTTCATGTGGCGCAAACAGAGGCATCCATTGATTGGAGCTCTTCTGGAAAGTTTGTAACCGCACAAGCGCATTCTCATATATTCTGGAGTGGCCCTCAGGCACGCTTAAACAGTCTGAACGTGACTTCAGAATCCCTTGTTAGACCACTCTGTCAAAGGAAGGTTTCTCAGGTAAATCATAAGGTAAAGGGTTAGACATTTTGAATGAAGGGCACGTCTAAGAAGCTAAATATCTGCCTTAAATGTCGCATCTTACCAAGTGTCTCACTTTTGTGGCAGTCTTGGAAACCTTGGTTTGTTCTGGTTTTTTGCTTGCTTTCAGGGTATCAAAGAGCAGGTAAACTGAGAAAAGCGTCACCCTTGTGGCCTGTTGATGTGCAACATAGCTGCTTAGACATATCTAAAAGATCTTTCTACAAGCTTTCCAAGCTATCTGAATGTGTCATCTTAGCACCTAAGCAAGATGTTTTAGATCTTGTTTGGTTGAGTGCTTTCAACTGACAACGCAGGGAACAGTAGTAGAGCTCGTGTGGTATCTTTCGACATGTAGGAGGACAGCGAGAGCACCACATGAGAGTACTCTCCTCTTCCTGCTGTTCTGCTTTGCAGCAAATACTGCGAAAGGGGCAGATCAAAACAGTAGCATTATTGGTAATGGAAATGGAACAATAGCAAAAGGAGGAATGGGGATATTTAATAGCTACAAATACTATAAAGTAATGCTTCACTAGTTAAATAATTCTGTGCCCTGGATGGAGGGCTTTCTTATTTGGTTGGTTTTGTTGTTGTTAGCCTCTTGGGAGACCAAGAGCATGTTGAACAGGTGGAGATTTGCAGGAGATTGTAGGAGAGAATGGGGCTGCAAAAGACAACATGGGGCATAGGATTCGGTCTCCTGTAATCGTTGCCAGCTATTCAGTAACATTTATAAGAAATCAAAATAATGCATATCGTGAGTCACTGTGAGTCACAAAACTCTAAAATGTTACAGGAAGAGAGAAATAGATTGAGGGCATTCGTAAAGTTTACCCTTTTCTCGGAAGGCAAGATGAATGTGCCGGATTTGTATACCCTACACTCTGGTGCAAGGCAAAATGAAACCTTAAAGAAATCCTTCTCTCTATGCCAACAAATTACGTCATGGAAAATCTTTTGACTCCTAAATTGTGCTGCTAATGTAACTGGATTATCTCCTTGGCATCATCAGACAAGTGTAATTCAGTGGCTGCAGAAGTTGCTGCTGAAATACCAACTGATCCATGAAGCTGTATCATACCACGTGTTACGATTAGTAAAGTCTTGCTGGTTGTGTTTTACTTCCATTTCTTTGTTCAGTCCCTTCTTTTCTCTGTGCCAGGAAGTCAGATGCTGCTGTAACAGCGTTTGGCTTGCAGAAAGTCTGTCTGGGTAGCTGGAATTACTCTTTTGGTGTTGTGTAGGACATGGTTGGAGCTGGAATTAAGCAACTATCTCTAGATGTCTACTGGATTAACTTAATCCTTTTCCACTTTCAGAATCATGTCAAGTAAATGCTTGTAGCTGTAATAGGAGCTCATAAGTCACGGATCAGTTACCAGGTTTGTCTTCCTTCTTTTACTTGTGTCACCACTTTGTGTGTGATGTTCTCTTCTGACTACCAGGCTCCATTTGATAGACATCAGTCGAAACGCACTTTCTCCAGGTGACGGCAGGGATGGCAGCTCTGCTGCTAGGCATGTTGAGGAAAGGCTGCAGGAAGAGTTCTAGCACAATGTTTTTTCAGTTGTTTTAGTCAAGCTGCCATTTAATCCTTCAGTCCAACAACAGTTTCACAGAGTATCTTCTGAAGTGTTGTTGTAAATGGATGCTATTTCACTCATCTAAAACTTCAGGTTTTTTGAATAACTTGTGTTTCATGCTTTTTGGCTTTGTGGTGCATGTCTGAAAAGCGTTCCTAGTTTTTGCTGTTGTGGGCCACCGGTAAGCCAGATGTGAGAGTAGCTTGATGTGCCCAGCTGGAGCTTTTTGTGAACTGGTAGTTCATGTGAATGATCATCAGATGCTTACTTGAAGCAAAGATCCTGAAAATGTGACATGTTCTTGTCTCTCTTGATTAGAGTTCTTAATTTTTTAAATTTTTTTATGCCCTGGCCCTGAAAAGGCACTGACATCAACTGTAAATATAGCTTACCGACGTTGTTCCAGCAGAAGTTTCATAGCAGCTTAGGTTCTGTCTGCTGCTTCTGTGGCTGTTAATAAACTGCCATGTGTCTAGGGGGGTTGTTGCTGGTTTGTACAGTCAGCTGACTCAAAATGGTTGTTTTGGGCATGAATATTTGCTTGAGGAAAGGACCACAAGAAATCATTGCTGCTTACGCCTTTTAGATGACTAAATGATACGAGCATCCCAAAGTGAACATAATAGATGCTGTTCAGCCATCTTGACCTCCAACATTCTTCTATGCCTAAGGAAGCTAGCTTTAATACTCTTATTTCAAGATTTATTTTTTTTTCTTAACAAATAGTATCATTCAGGAGGAACAAAGAGGCGGGTGAGCTTGTTGCTGTGCGCAGCAGATGAATACCCCATCTTGGTATGTCTCTGTTGACATGAGTTGACTTGTAGGAAAGCTGGGAAAACTCTGCCCCACACTGCTGTTGTAAAATAGACAGTCCTCAGTGTCGTTCGTGTGTACTTAATGTACTTCACTGCACTTCAGCACATTGTCCTGTTCCACAGGTACTTCCAGTGGAAAGGCTCTCCCAAGATGCTGTTTCTCTTGGACATTTCTCACAGTGACCGCGGAGTCTTTTCATGCGTTAGTGCCATCCGTGCTTTATAAAGGCTGTATTCACAATGCTGTGGTCTAACTTGAATTCATCTTATACTGCAAGTGTTTTGGGTGAGAGGGGAATCTCTTATCCTTACTTTTTGGTCCTGGGATAAGAGAGCCCTTTAGATATGTGTAGAATTTGAAACTGCACTGACCCTTCACTACTCTAAAGGGTTTGGAGGAGGGAAGGGTTGCAAGGTGTCTTGGCATTGATTTTTATAGCAAGCTGTTTTAGTCCTGAGATGCTTGGTAGAACACTGGGACAGAACAGAGAACAGCAGGAGGTCTAGGAAGAGGAGGAACACGAAAATATGTTCATGGATGTGTTTGGAAGTATAACAGATTTAGGACTGAGTACAAAATTAGGTTCTCTGAGGGAAAAACAACTGCTCTGAGGAATAGGGAGCAAAATGAGTTTTTGTTCCCTTTTCAGGGAGAGGGAGATTGTTTCAGGCAGGCTGCTGGAAAAGAATAGACACTTCAGAGAAAAACTAAGTGCTGGGATAGAAATAAATCACTAGTCAGATGTCTGACTTTTGCTCCTACATTTACATCTGCATGACCCAGGAGCTCAGTTTGTCATTTGCCTCCTTTGCAGAGTTCAGGAGATACCCGCTGGGGTGTGGAGGGGCGGCCCGGGGCACGGCGCAGACCTCACGCCCCTGGGGTAGAGGGGGTGCGCATGCGTACTGGTGGCTCCCAAAGTCTGCGGCACGTTGAGCCCCTCTTATCCACGCCAGCCGCGAGTCCACCTCCTGCATTTCGTTAGCAGGTTTCTGTCACCTGTGCTTAAAGAGAAACGTGTAACTGTTAACCTGAAACCATTGAATTTGTCTGGCTGACTGCAGGTACTCAAAACACTTCCCATGTCTTGACTCTGACATGTCAGTAAAACTTCATTTGAGCAATCGGTACGTGCATGTCTAGATGTGTAATAAGAAACAAGAGGAATCTAAATCATTCTTAGAGCAGGTAAATGGAATATCTTTTTTTTTCCCCCTAGTATTTCTTTTATTCTTGTCATGAACCTGAAAAAAATATTTTAATTATTCTGTGAGCCAAGAGCTGCAGAAACAGGGACTACAGAACTACTTTGAATGCTTGTGGGCACTAAAAACCATTACTGACATGCCCACGAACAGTGTACGCCTCACCTGGAGAGATGACTTGGTTCTGGTGTTGAGTAAGCAAGCCTTCTTAGAGTTCTTCCTTAGCAGGGATCTCGTGGCCGCCTTGTTGTGGTAGCAGTCTCTTACCTCAAATAGGATGGATATCAAAGCACTGTTGTTTTTCGTCGGTAAATTTTCAAGCAGTGTCATATACAGATGTAATTTTTAGGGAAGAGAGGAGGCTTGTTTCCTAGCAACTGTAGATCTTACTGCAGACTGTCTCTTGGTCAGCCAGCTTTTTTTACCTTTGCTGTTGCGGTTACTTTAATGTGAAGTGTCAGCTATGTCAAGAGTTTACTGCTCAGAGGTTTTTCCTGTGAAAAATGGAAACCAGTACCATAGACTTGAATCTTAAAATGACCTCTAATGGGCCCCTAAGCAAACTTCTGCAGAATGCTAGTAAGTCCCACTACAAGCATATAGTATGTACTTGGCCCCTGAAATGACTTTTCTGTTTAGGAGCATATTGTAAGCCTTCTGCCAGCTAGCATAGTGTCTGTTAGAACATGTTATTTTTCTGTTTGGACAATAATTTAAGTGCAGAAAGCATGAGAATTTACTTGTTTTGTATTACATACAATCCCCTCTTTCAGAAATTTATATATTATTGGTTTCTTAGCTACGCATCCCACATGGTAATAATAAGATACTAACAGTTAAAATATTTTTATTCAATGGCTCTTCCAGTAAGTTGTTATTCTAAAGCAAACTTTTTTTGACTAATCCAGAGTCTCTTGCAGGCTTTACAGGTAGCTGGTTGACTACAGCTGCTGCAGAACACTGGTTCTAATATATGTTTTATCAGAATGTCTTGGGCATTTCCAGAATTTCTTCTGCAAATGATCAGACAGTTTGTTCTTTGGTTGATATGTATTATTGCATACAGTATAAGAATGTATTGACTCCTCTTTCTTAATTCTCAAGGGTCTTTTGAAATATGTACAGATCTGGAGCCTAGTATCAAGCCTTTCTGTAGATGTTTATGTTAAGCTGGAAATAGCACCATAGCTGTCTTGAAGCATATTATTTCGTCAGCTAAGGCAAAGTATGTGCACTTTAGCAAAGCTTTTGATCCTGTCTCTCACAGTATCCCTCTGGATAAAATGTCCAGCGTACAGCTAGACAAGTCCATAATACGCTGGCTAAGCAATTAGCTGATGGGTCGGGCTCAAAGAGTTACAGTAAATGAGGTTACATCAGGCTGGCGGCCAGTCACCAGTGGGGTTCCCCAGGGCTCAATTTTAGGGCCAGTGCTCTTTAATGTTTTTATCAATTATCTGGGTGCAGGAGTCAAATGTACCTTAACTAAGTTTGCCAATGATGCTACATCACGAGGCGCTGTGGACTTCCTTGAGGGTAGAGAAGCCTTACAGAGGGACCTGGATAGACTAGAGAGCTGGGCAATCACCAACTGTATGAAATTTAACAAGAGCAAGTGCCGGATTCTCCACCTGGAATGGGGTAATCCTGGTTATGTGTACAAATTGGGGGACGAGAGCCTGTGGAAAGAGATCTGGGGGTTTGGGTTGATGGCAAGTTGAATATGAGCCAGCAGCATGCCCTGGCAGCCAAAGGGGCCAACCGTGTCCTGGGGTGCATCAAGCACAGCAGAGCGAGCTGGTCAAGGGAGGGGATTGTCCCACTCCACACTGCACTGCTGCAGCCCCACCTCGAGTGCTGTGTGGAGTTTTGGGCACCTCAATATAAGAAGGACATCAAACTACTAAAATGTGTCCGGAGGAGGGCAACCAAGATGGTGAAAGGCCTCGAGGGCAAGACTTACAAGGAGCAGCTGAGGTCACTTGGTTTGTTCAGCTGGGAGAAGAGAAGGCTGAGGGGTGCCCCCATTGCAGTCTGCAGCTTCTCGGTGGGAGGGGAGCTGCTGATCTCCTTTCTCTGGTGACCAGAAACAGGACACAAGGAAACGGGATGAAGCCGCATCAGGGGAAGTTCAGACTGGACATTAGGAAAAGGTTCTTCACTGAGAGGGCGGTTGGTCCCTGGAACAGGCTCCCCAGGGAAGTGGTCACAGCACCAAGCCTATCAGAGTTCAAGGAGCATCTGGACGACGCTTTTCATCATGCGGTTTAGTTTTAGGTAGTCCTGCGAGGAGCAGGAGTTGGGCTCAATGATCCTTATGAGTCCCTTCCAACTTGAGATATTCTGTGATTCTATGATAAGTACCTGGGAAGAGAATCAAACTAAATCTGTGAGGTTTTTAATCAGATTAAGTAAATTTTGCTAACTACTTAGAAAAATAATCTGAAGTTACATTTTTATTATTGAATTAGTTCATCAGGTCTCATAATGATTAGTTGTATTTGGTTGATCTAGAGCATAAGCCTAGCATGTCTTAAACACAATTCTTCCAAAGTACCACAAAGATAACATTTTCACCCTCAGCTTCATTTTGTGTATTTTGGCATTATGTGGGGTTTTAACAACTTGGGTGGAAAAATCTCCAGTTGAAAAGTATGTAATGCTTTGTTTGAAATATCTTTGATTCTTTGGAATATGAAACTATAATTAAAAGTTGAAGATTCTGAATCTCAGCTAAACTACTGGTATCGCGTTCAAAATACGATATGGTCTGATCCGTGTCCTTTAGCCACTGCTGTGGCATACTTCATTATTTCGTTAATGGATGCTATCTTTTAGTTGGGGGGGGTGTCTGTTTTCTATAGCCCAGCATTCTCTCCCTACACAGTTGATCTGAATTTGTCTGGGACAAAAATATTCCATTTATTGCTGTCACTTTTTATCACACCTAGAGTTTCCTAAGAACGCTGGCCATACTTACACAAGTTTGTAATAAAATGAAGTGTGAATGCAGTGAGACAATTTCAGTTGAGTGTCAGCTGTAAATTGGTGTATTCTCAAAGGCTTTTTTCTTTTCCTAGCTAATAAATTGATTACACGAGAAGGGCCTTCCTTTCTGCAGATGCGAATAAAACATTTGATGAAGTCAAACTGCATCCCACAAGCTACTTTCTTGTCAAAATTGTGTGCAGATTCTCCAGAAATTGCAAATGTTTCATCTTTTCGCCAAGCCTACATCACATGTGTGTGTTCTATGCTGCCTAATGAAGACTCCATTAAGGAGGTTAGTAATTCATAGTCCCTTTTTAATGTGTATATATATCAAGCATTTTAGAATTTATTTCTGCAATACTGAGAACTGAAGCTAAAGAGTGAAACTGTTGCAGCAGAGTTCCAAAAGAGAAGGATCTGTGTACTGGAGGCGTTGGGGATATATGGGTAACTTGCAATATGTTCTTTGATTGCATTGGCTACTAATGATGAATGGCATAGAAATCACATGAAATTGTGTTCAGTTTTTAGTTTCACTTAAGAGTTGTGAAGTGTAGCTGTATCTGGTTTACCTGGATACTCAGAAAAGTCTTTACTTGCCAGTCAAGTATAAAAGCTAGAACACAGATTGATGAATTCAAGCAAATTATGGTAATCACTTAATTAAACCTTTTATGGGGAAATGAAGCCACTAAGCATCAAAGCAGTATCTTAAAACAGTACGGTTTATTGACTTAACTGGGCCTGTAGCCAACACTGTGAAAAGTGTAAAGTCAGTGGTGGTACAGTGCCAGAAAGTTGACATAAATAATTGGCAATATGCGGATTTGCATGTAATGTTTCTTTACATGCTTGGTCACAGGTATTGTGTAGTTGGCACTCTTTACAGAATTGCTGAAAACTGAGACTTCTAAAACATTTTTATTTCCACCTTTGTTTTCAGAAGGTGAGAATTGTGTTATATCTTCATGTTACCTATCATCTTTCTCAGGTAGAAAGTTACCAGGTCTAATGACAAGTGGGGAAAAGAGATGGAAAAAAAGATGAAAGATGAAGAGCTCAAAGAATGGCAGCTGTTGGAGAACGAGAGGTGGCAATGACCAAAAACCCAGCGGGAGGAAGAGGGGATTAGCTGTAATCAAAGAAATAAGTGTTAAGTGAAATTTGAAGTTCGGAGTAGGATGGGGTAGATGGAGGAACAGGGCTTAGCTAAGAAAGTAAATGTTAGAAAAAGGGTGAATATCAGTGGAGATAGCTTGGGGAGGATTGGAGAGAAAGAATTTGTCTTGGAAGATGAGACAATGGATGGTTATCCCTTTCCTGGAACTGGAAGTGATTGGAATGGCTACGTCAGGCTTGGAAGTTAAATTACTGAGCTCCTAAAAGTTAAGGCTGGTGAACTACTTCTGTCTATAGGCAATAAGATACATACATACACACACATGTACATACATGTGTGTATGTATGGTTATAACTCTGTGTGTATACACTACATATAAAGTTGTCCCTTGCATTTCTGGTACCTTCTGGTACCTTGAATTGATCCTAAGGCACATGTAACAAATAACATGATTGAGTAATTATATGTTCACAAGAATCTCGTGCTGCTCTGAGAAACATAGTAACAGAACTGGGAATCGCTGTCTGGCTTACTGGTTCCAATGTTTGGCTTGAATTTGCCAATTTTATTGAACCAATTAAAATGCTAATTAAAGAGGTTCTACACAGTAGTTAACACTCTTTGCTGTTGCAAAAAGCAGGAAGCCCCAAATGTTCCATAGTCTAAGATGGCTTTCTCTGCAAGTAGCAATAAAACAGGGTTTTCAAATGCAACAACCAGTTAAAATTAAAGCCAGATTGATTGTTCCAGTCATAACTGGTCATCTCTGTAGAATGTCGGTGATTGTTTGCTAGGTTGCATTTGAGCTCCTTATAGCCATCTCTTATCATCAAAGTAGGGTTTTTTTAGTCTGGACTTTCTTTGGGAAAGACCATTCAAAAATCTGAGAGTAAAGCACTTGAAGGCTGAATTTAAGAAAATGCCCATTATCCCATTCATTAAAAATTCAACTGGGAAACTTAAGAACAGTCATCTTTCAGAGGTCGTCTGCAGACACTGCCTACAGAACAAGGAATTGTTCTTGGGTTGTATGCTTAAAAAAGCAAGAGGGAAAGACAATGAAGCTTGTTAAAATACTGGGGAAGGATAGTTATTTATCACGAGTTTGCTTGCAAAAATATTCTTAGTTACCGTGTTGTTCCCATTGTCAAGTTAAATCAAGTGTTCTCGTCCCTCTGTAATTTCCAATTTGATTGGAAGATTACGAGAACTTAACCTAAGTGTGCCTTGCCCTGCAAACTCCCTATGCTTAATGAAATACTTTTGATATAAAATATGTTCTTTCATTAAACTTTGAGGCAGCAGCTCCCAAATTCTTGCAGCTGTAGCAGCATTCTTTAATGTCAATAAGGTAACATGCTGCAAAAGAGTTGCCTGCATTTACAGACTCCAGTCTGTTGTCCCAACTCAGCTAGGGGGGACTTACAGTCTCTCAGCTGAAACTAAATTGCTTTTAGTTGGTTCACGGTATATCTCTAGCTCCTGAAAGGAGGATAAGTCGCCCTAGATAAGCAGGTTGGGTGCCCCCTTTTTTAAGAAGTATTAACATGATGTCCTACTAAAAAACTGGTAGAAGGTTTATGTTAGTGGTAGGAAATTTTTATGATGATGTAAGAAGTAAAATATCTTTGTAATGTCAAAACTTTTTCTTCAAACTAAAATGCCTTCGCAAAGGCAAGAGAAATCTTACATGGTTGTATGTTCCGTGGAATAACTTTGAGGAGTAAACTGACATCCTTCTTGTTAACGGAACGTGGGGAGGATGACAGCATTTTTCAACAATTCTGATTTAAAATATCTTAGTACTGTTCATTCTGTAGTCTCTGAACTTTCATTCAGCTCTTGGTCTTGTGTGGTTTCTAACAGAATAACAGAAGCACTTGTCAGCATTCCGGGCTTAATAAAGACACTTTCATAAGTGTCTGGTTTGTCACTTAAGTGACTGACTGGATATTGTTGGATGATTTCAAGCTGTGCATTTGGACTTTTTGTCTTAAATATTATTAAAAAAAAAAAAGGTCTGAAAAGAGATGGATCATTGACAAAGTTTGAAATAAACAGGACTTGAAAACAAATTGCCTTGCTGCTTACTCAGTAGTTAATGTCCTGAATATGAGTGAGTTTGGCCAAAAAAACCCCCAAATTTCTATGTGAGAAGGAGAGCGACTCCAGTGTGCTGTGTGCGTATGATATGCTGTGTTACACATCCGTACGCACTGTGCTTCGCTGCTCTAAGCGCCACAGACGTGCCTGTTGCTGGAGCTGTGTTTGGGATGGTCCCGCTGGTCCAGCACAGAGCAGAAGTTCCAGGTCTCATTACAGCATGAGCCTGAGTGAGCAGTAACTGATGGCTATTAAAAATGTGGGGTTTACCATTCTGTAGCCTAAGAAACCCTAGTAAGTCGGTTTTAAGTTTGAAGGTTTTTTTAAAACAATGGTAGTGCTGTTCAGTGATTGTAACTTTAATGGAACTGGGAAACTGAGCATGGTCTCTGTCAGGTGTTGCCTGGCCAAGTAGATCATAGGCTGCCACGTCATCTTCAGATTTGTGGAGGAAGCATATCCCATGTTTACATGCACTGACAATTTTTGTTTTTCTGAAAACCAAGACCTGGAAGATCAGGCTTATATCAAACCATTGCAGGCATTGCATTGCATTGTTTAAGAATGTTTGCTGCGGTATTGAGGAGATGGCAATGTATAATTGTGGAAATTGTCAAAGACAAAAGTTTGAGTCACTTAGCTTTGTTTTCCTAATTTGCTTTATAAAGTGTTCTGATGGAAACTCTTACCTGTAAAGAATAGGAATAACTGAGCGGAGAGAGGTGGTAGAATAGTGTGAGAAGACTGGAGCTGCCCAGCTATCACACATGCATTAAACTAGACTTCCCACACAAGCTGAAAGCCTGTGTGCCTGTAAGTACCAAAGGCCGAGGAGAACATAGGAAAGGTACTGCTGTCAAAGGATGTTGGAGGGAGATGGTATGCAGCAGCATCCTTTTGTTTATCTGTAAGCTAGAAGAGCAGTGTTCTCTCCTGCGCAGTGATGAACACCTTCAGAACTCTTTCATGTGGCCATTGGTATGGGCTTGCTTTTCCATCTTCACCAACCTGATGGAGGTGGCACTTGATGTACAGATATTGTAAGTGCTTATTATCTTTGACATGCAAGGAGCAATAATGTCTGTCCCCTTCCTTAGCAAAGCATTGTCACTTAAATCGCTTCTTGAGGTTTCTCTCTTGCTAGAGGTGAATCAGTGACAAACAGCCCCCTCCCCCAAATAATCTGCTGTGTTTTACTCTTCAAATGCAAAACTGACACATCTGTAAGCACTTGCAGCTTGTGAATTCCTCTAAAAATGTCTGCTGCAAAAGGTCAGTCACTGATCTCAAGTTGAACACCAAAAGTCAGTGGACCCTAGAAAATGTTGACGTTGCTCAATGAACTCCAGTGTCAAGCCTGTGTGGAAAACTGGGGTAATAAACCTGCTTCTGCTCTTCCTGAGTCTATTTTTAACTTCCCTTTGTTCTTTCTATATCATAATTTTTCATGATTAACAAGAGGTTTGAATTGTTTATATTAACAACAGCTGATTAAAGTAGCTGTTGCTTGAGTACAGCCTATTCTGTGAAGTAGAATAGATCCAGTGGAAAAAATGCATTAAAAATAGTGTTGTCTTAATTGTAAAAGCACTTCATAATTATTGTTTGTGGTCTCAAATACTTGGCTTATAACCAAGCTAATATCCTGGTTTGATACACGGATAGGTACTACCTTTAACTGGTCTTTCCAGAACTTCCATGGGATTTGTCTCTCCTCTTCTCTACTTCTATTTTTAACACCATGCTTTGGAATGTGATCGTTCAGAATCAGCACTTACAGACAAAGAGGACAAGAGACTGGCTTTTTCACACTCTTGACCTTTTTGGACCTGGATTTTAATTTTCAAAAGGAAAACAGAGCTGCCTGCAAGTGCAGAGAAGGAATGGGAAGTTGTAGATAGACTGTTGCCTGTATGTAAGTATTTTGCTAAGCTGCCCAAAGTGGAAGATGGTCCCAAAGAAAACTAATGCTGGGAAGGGATCAGAACTGACATATGCGAACTTCTCCTCGTGCCATTCTGTAGCTGAAAGGTGTGGTATGAACTCTGGGTATTAGAGACAGTGTTTTGTTCATGTGTTTGTGAGACCATTCCCTTTGATACAGTAAACATGTATTTCTTTTGTAAACGTGCTGAGAATAAAGTGCCTTTTCTTTTAATTTTCTTTTTTTTCTTTAAGATTGCAAAGGTGGATTGCAAAGAAGTACTGGACATCATATGTAATCTGGAATCTGAGGGACAAGAAAACACTGCATTTATTCTTTGTACAACATACCTTACTCATCAACTTCAAACAGCAAATGTGTATTGCTCTTGGTAAGTAATAAGTATTACTGCTACTGCTAACTGTTCCTCACTGGCTTCAGTGCAAGAGTATTGAGCTAATATAGTATAAAAATATGTAGAGACAGTGGATATATCCTTAACTTTAGAAGTACATCGGACTGAAGTACTTTATAGCTAACTTGTGACACTGAGATGTTGGAGCGTGGCCAGAGCAGGGCAGCGAGGCTGGGGCAGGGGCTGGAGCCCAAGGCTGGGGAGGAGCGGCTGGGGGAGCTGGGGGGGCTCAGCCTGGAGAAGAGGAGGCTGAGGGGAGCCCTCATCGCTCTCTGCAACTGCCTGAAAGGAGGCTGGAGCCGGGGGGGTCGGTCTCTTCTCCCCAGGAACAAGCGATGGGATGAGAGGGAACGGCCTCAAGCTGCGCCAGGGCAGGTTTAGGTTGGATATTAGGAAAAACTTCTTCACCCAAAGGGCTGTCAGGCCCTGGGACTAACAAAACCATAGTGGAGGTGTAATACCATCACTGCCTTCCCTTACCAGAAAAATAAGCTAATGGACTAACCAAGCATAAAGGTGGTAATCACTAGTCTAGCTAAGTAACAGTGGATCTGCTTATAAAATCCGTCTTTCATCACCAGCTTTGCATCCCTGTTAGTTGGTCGTGGGTACGAGTCCAAGGACACCCATCACACCCATCACCTTGGCCTTGGGGAATTTGCGCAGGTTGATCTTGGAGCATGAAATTTCTTCCTTGTCTCCTGATGAACTCTGTCCTGCTCTACTGGTTTAGTGGTGGACTTGGCAGTGCTGGGTTAACGGTTGGACTTGATCTTACAGGTCTTTTCCAACCTAAATGATTCTATGATTCTGTATATAAATAAGGACTCATCTTGCTACAGTAATAGAGCAGTTAGACAAAAGTAATGTTTAAATCATTTAAAAATGAAACAGCACTCATACTGCTGGCACTAACAGTAATGCTTCAGCAAGATAGCAGCTCTGTAAGTAGTGCTGGATCAGTGCTGTCTGGCTTGATATTAAACCTCTAAGCTTTGTGATTCCACAAAGTATGTTGTAATTCAGTTTTTCCCTCTTGAATACTTAGACCCATGAGAGTTTGCTTTTTTTCCACTTCTTCCACAGAGATGTAAGTAGTAGGAATGTGCAGAGGCAACACCCTGAACTTTTTTTTCCTTCCCCCCAGAGAGCCTTTTTATATTTTTGTAGTTTCTTTAACTCTGAGAACTGTAGTACTATATCTTGGCCAAATTGTGGCTATAAAACTTCTTTGTCCTCTTAACTGGCTGGAGATACAAAACTTTTTGCATCTCTATTTCAGCAGTGGCAAACTGGTAGAGCCAAAGCAGGGAAGCTGTTTTCTGCCCCTTATGAAATGGGTTTGTAGTTTTGGCTTTCAAGGCATGGCCTAACGCGTAGTTTTCTCCTGTATAAACGCTGATCTGGATAAAACTTTACATTAGCAGGCATCTCAAGTATACCTTGGGATTTGGTCAGCTGTGGCATTGTTCATTTACTCACTCCACATTTTAAAGCCATTAAGAAAAGTTTTCCTAGCACTTAGGTGTCAGCAGGATGATTGATAGTTTAGCTTGGTCCAATCCTCTGTACAAAAAGGCAAGAAGTATTTACATATTGCTTCTGTTTCAGGCCAGAAATGTCTTTTTGAGCAAAAGCATACCTTGTAGAGAGAAATGAACTTGTGGAAGGCTCAAGAGGGGAGAGTCCACCACACTTGGAAGTTATAGAGGATGGCTGGTTTTTTTACTACCGAAATGTGTCATTAGAGATTAGATCAGAGCCATGTCCAAAGAGATAGGAGGCTGAAGTCCATCCCATGATCTCTTTTTAAAGAAAAAACAAAAGAAAGAAAAATCCCCCAAACAACAACTAACATTCTTTCAGAGTGAAGTAAATGATTTGCTGTTGTCCAAGGAGGCTTGTTAAGCAGTTCTGTCTGAAACCTATGTCCCTGGAGCGCAAATGAAGAGAGTTGGACTTCAGGTGTAGCTGAGACTTTTAAACTATTGGGACTGGAGAACAGCCTTCAGTGATGTAGCATTTATTGTTACAGAATAATCTCTCTTTTCTGACAACAACTGTGGGTAGATTTTTTTGCTTGCAATACAAAGTCTGAACTGAAACTAGTTAGGATTTGAATAAAATTTTCAGGTCATGTAACTGTCTAACCTACATTTTTCTCCTGAGTAATGAGTCAGGAGAGATCAATTAGAGCTGTAGATTTCTCATCTCCATGCCAGTGTGGCCCAAAACATGGTCCAACTGTAACACGAGCAGGTACTTCCACATCAGCTCTAAAATTGGCTAGCCTAGGTGACGAGCAGTGAAGGCTTGAGGATACAAATGTTAGCACAGTCTAGCTACACAAGTATGTTCCTACTTACAGAAGGCGTTAGCAGGTTTGTGTCACTCATGCTGAAGTCATGTCACTGTCTACACTGTTGTTAGTCGTTCAAATGAAAGGTGCTGGTTCAAACTGTGCTGCTATGTCCATGCATGCCACAGTTGCCTCCTCTGCTGCTGCCTTCCTCCAGGAATGAGACAGGAGAATGAAGCCTTCTGTCTAACCCTGAAATTGTATAGGTGTTATAAGTCCAAATTCTAATACTGTACATAGAATTCCTGGTACAGCAGAATTGCACACAACCGATGTGGTCTGTACCCACTGAAGAGCAAAGCCTCCAGGACGCTGGAGCGCAGATTGAAGAAGTTGACCTTCTGATGGAAGTGACCTTCTGATGGGCTTGTGAAACTGGTGTAATACTTCTTGACCATCATATTACTTTCTCACTTTGAGGCAGTACCCCTAAGTCTGTTTCAAAGGTACTGTTGCTGGAAAATAAGGATTCCTTGCTGGTCTAATGGTGAACTGCTGTTTGATGGAGTGGCCTCTTTTTATTGACCTCCACCTACTTTCCTTGTGGCAGATGCAGATCTAGTGATTATTTAGCCACAAGGTAGATGAAGTCAAGTGGCTGATATGACATAACACTTTTAATTTGGAGGATTACTTTTGTCAGATCAGCCAACTTTACTGATGAGGTGCGAGATTACGCATTACAGATGTAATGGATATTATGGCTCACAAAAAGGAGGAGGCCTCTGCTCCGTACAAACCGTGGTGATCACTGAAATCATTGCAGAGCTGATTTGAATCAGTATCCTGGAAAAGAGAGAAGGTAATGTTGCTTTCTCTGCATTAGTAAATTGAGCTCAGTCAAAAGCGTGACAAATGCCAGAGCTGGCTGGAAGGACAGGAAATGTTAAGATGGACTCGCTGCAAGATGCATATTTAGCCTAATCCTACAGCTAAAACTAATGTGGAGGAATCAGATGCTAGAGGTTGCTTGCTAGCCTTTGTATAGGCTTCAGTACAGCATAAATATACACTTAAAATACTTAGTTAAATTGAATACATAAACTGAGACATGCTCCTTTCTGTGACCAACTGCTGGTTTTAAGGGGCAGCAATTGCTTAATTCACTTCAGAGAAGGTCCTGTCTGGTTCAAAAAGACAGGATTGTAGTTGAAAGGTTATTTTACTGTGATGCTTGATCTATGGATGACTTGGACTCCACTTACAGTTTTTCTAGCAATGTCATTAGCACCTTTTGGATTTTGATTGTTGTTAATAAAATGTAAATTTTTGTTGTGTGTATTTAATCATAAGCCTGCATAATGGTGTTTCAAGCCAATAAATGATTTAAGGTTTAATCAGTTTTCATAGTGTACTTCTGGTGCATTATGTAATTGATAGACCAGAACTCAGTGGTGACTAAAACATTTACTAAAGACCTTTGAGAGGAGAGCAGGGAGTAAGAAGAGCAGAGGCCCTCTGGTACAGTGTTGTTGCAGGTGAGCTTCCCTTTGTGCTGTTATGGATTCGGTTCAACAGGCAAGCCCTAGCACATGTACTTGGAAATGTTCCACTCATCTGTAGGATCCTTAAATAAAATAGTTTCCTACAGACTTTTCTGGATCACATCCTTCTTGATTTGTAGAGTAGCAGTACGTTGATGAAATGTTTTCTGCTAGCCCCTGGCTGACCTCTAGCACACTGTAAGCAAGCGGTGTTATCCAGTGCAATCCTGCTTGCTGCCAGCCACCCATTCCCGTTATTCTCCTCCATATCTTGCTTTATGCAGTGTCAGAGTGAACCAGCGTAAGTGATCCAGATTGAAAGTATTCTGGTTGAGACAAAGGAAAAGACCTGTTGACAGCTGTGAACAGCAGATGCAAGTGAGGATGCTTTTGAGACTCCATTAGTGTGGATGAGTTGTACATAATGGATGAAGATGGAGCTTTGGTGCCATACTCATACTTGAGCCAGTCCTAACAATTTCCTGCTGCCAAAAAGCAGAAGATAAATTCTTGCCATATTGTGGTGGTAGCTGCACAGCTCTGCCTCGTCTGTTGTTCGGGCTCCAGGCCCGTCTGACCCATAGTGAGCACATTCATCTAACCCAGCCAGAACTGTGTATAGCTTTCTAAAGATTAATGCTTGATTAGGTTATCATGTGGTCAGACAAGTACCGGTGAAGAAGTGCAACACTGGTGCTTCTGGAAGTTGTAAGCTGTTAAATCTGTTTGGCTGTAACATCGCGCTCAGTCTAGAAAGGGAAGATCTACCTCCCTTCCCTCCCGTCTTCGCTGCTCTAGCATCTGCCTGATGGCACGGTGCTAACTCCAGCCCAGCACAAACCTCGCAGTATTCTTGCATATCTGGAGGGGTTAAGCTGTTTCATTCGCTGAGCACAACTCATCCTGTGCCTCCAAGAGAAGATTAGTAAACCATATATGTATGTGCATTAGCGCTGTTGTGTGAAGCTTCGTTTTGGAGCTGAAGATGAAAGCAAACTCTAGGTTTCTCTATATTATTCCTTACAACATTGGAAGATTTTGCAATGATTGTTGCTGATAATCATAAAATAATGTGTAATGCAACTTTTAAGACTGGAGGCATCTGCCATGTATGGAACTCTATCTAAGAAGTAGTGCTGCTCTGGGCAGTAGTTCTGAGCTAGCTGATTGCCTTGGTCTCCAAGGAGTCAGGCAATTCATCAATCCATAAAATAATGTAATCTTTAGCACTAACACAAGTGGCATTAACGACGAACTGTAGCTAAGGATAACTTCAAAAAACTTCTCTCCAGTCTGATATGCTAGTAAGAGTCTCCTTGAAGTTCTTTGTTCTCTGCACTGCCTCACATCAATTTTGAAACAGAAAATTGCCCAGATACTGAGAGTTGTCCTTTCTTGCCTTTCCGTATGTGCGAAGATTATCTGAGGAACGTTTCGACGTCACCATCCTTGAGGACCCCTTCCAACAACGTATTTTAGCTCTGCAGAAAGAAGGGGTGGGATGAGAAAGAGAACGAGACAAACACTGAAAACTTTGCCCTGCCAAAAACTCTTAGGAATACGGGAGTATCCAGAGTGAAGCCCTTCTCTCACTATTCTTCCAGCTCCCAACTATGTAAATGTACTGAATAGATATAAAAAATACTGATGTCTTGATAAACTATTTTTCAAGTTTGTTTTGTTTCTGTTGTGGTGATGCTAAGTTAAATTTTTTTTGTAATACTTTTTTTAATATATATATATTCTGTGCCTTCCTTGTGTAAGCTTCCCTTCATACAGTTCTTCCATGTTAGTCATCCAGCTGTTAAATTAAATTTTACATTTTGTCAGCGTCTTGGGGCTAAAGGACAGCTGATATTTTGGGTGTCTACCTTTTTGTTTTTTTCTTCTCTAGTTCTGTTTTAGGATTTAAAGTTAAAACACCTTGAATCATATTGCTTGTATGTTAGTTTCTTGCAGGCCTATCTAGCTTCTCAGCTGTCTCTTCCTGGCTATGAAAGGCTGTTAATTGCATTTCTAGGCCTTTAAACAACACAAACAACCCCAAACAAACAAAACCCCCCCAAAAAAAACTGTTAACAGTAAATATTGTCCCTTTTTGTACAATAAACGTACCCCAGGTCAGATCCATAACAAAGCCTCGTTCCCTTTCACTTGGCTTAGGGTTCAAGAGTAGGATTGCAATAATTCAAAGGAAAAACCTTGCCAATATTCAGTGTAAGGTTTGCCTAGGTGTGTTTTTGTGATATTTTTGGTCCAAGAGGCTATGACTGACCTTGCATCTAGAAACCTATAATTTGATGCACAGAGTGGTTAACTTGGTGACGGTGAGGTTTGCTCTACGAAAGGAACAGAAGAAAAACTTTTTTCAAGTGATATAAAAGATACAGATCCTATCACCCTGCTGCTTTTCCGTTTCCGTGGCACTCATTGTGATGGCAAAGCAACACAAAGTGACAGATTGCATCATTCGATGGCTGTGCTGCCTTGGTTATAAGAAATTGCTTAACAGAACGGCTCTGTGCTCAAATGGTAGGAGCAGTAAAGCCGATAATTGCTCAGCCAGTAGGCAAAGCCCTCAGCTTACCCATCCCTTATGGAGCGCTTTACAAAATGTGTTTGTCCTATTGGAGGTCTCTTTGAAAGCGCTGAGTGGCAGTTACATCATTTGAATGCAGGTGTCAACATCTAAGCTCCTTGCCTAGCGTGAGAGAAGCGGCTACTTTATGATTCGTCTCGCCGATTTTAAATTTCTCTGTGAAAAGTTAAGGCTCTGCAAGTGTGTGGCGGGGTTTTCTTGTCTAGGAAGGAAGTCTGTGCAGCTATAGATGCCTGCATTAAGCGAGATGAATCCCATTGCCGGTGTCTTTCCCATGAAATAACAGGAGATATACTGTGGTTTGATCTGACGCTTGTTTAAGAGTAAGGCACAGTAACAGTTCTCTTCAGCATCTCTGGGAGATGGAGACATGATTGAAGTGTGCTGTTTTTTAATAACAAGTTGTTGTGGCATCAACTCTGAACAAAAGTGTGTAGACTCTGGACAAATTGTGTATATCTGTGGTGTTCTCATGTTCTGCTTTCAACTCTTTGCAGGGAACTGACGCTTTTCTGGAGCAAACTGCAGAGAAGAATAGATCCTTCTTTAGATTCCTTTTTGGAGAGATGTCGTCAGTTTGGCATCATTGCCAAGACACTACAGCATTTATTTTTCTTGATAAGAGTCATACAATCTGAAGTAAGTAAGCTGCAGTCCCGAGTGTTTGGACACAGACAGAACTGTTCATATGAATTTATTGTTTTCTTAATAATTCTACTGAACTGATATGAAACATAGCTTATTTCATTAATCATACTTTCTGATAAAGTGCCTAATAACTTACTAATAAAAATCTCTGAAAAATCCCTGCCATTGTAGTTTTGTGTCAGCTTGACACATTGAAGTGACCTTCAGTCAGTGTGGAATGGTTTGTTTGTTACTCTGAAAATACACTATGACAGTGTTTTGCAAACAAAGCATAGCTGTGTTTTGATCTGATGCCTGTTGAGAAGTGAGGCACAGCAACAGTTTTCTGCAGCATCTCTAAGAGATGGAGACTTAGCTGAAATGTCTCATATTTTTCCATTCTGAGAAAATGCCTTTTCCTGAAAATGTGTGATACAATCACATCTGGCCTTCTACCTTCTATTCTGATGCCTATCTTTAGAAAGTTGCAGAAAGGTTCAGGAGATGCTTAACAGCAATTTTTGTAAACACATAATCTCTGAGGAGTAATGGCAAGACTTTAATTGATCCATCTACCCGGGGGCAAATACAGCATGCTCTTCATAAGCAGAGCAGAAGGGCTATAGCTGTGGTTGGTCTGGGTGGTTGCTCAGTAGGGTGTTTCTGTCTTCCTTTGGTGGCTACGCTGACTCTTGGAATTGGTTAGGCTGAAATTCCCTGTGTCTACATGAGAGTACATTTGTAGAGGGCAACTATGAATGAAGATGAATCAGGCACACTTTAATGGAGGAAAAATAAGCTAGCTGATAACAGGATTTTACCTGTTTTACTAACAGTATTACATGGATCATGGACGTTAAATTAGATATGGGATTTTCCCTTAGGAATGTCACCGTTTCCAAAAGATTTCATGTATTTCTTCCTGAAAACCAGCATAGTTTTGTACATGTAGAGTAGAATTTGCCACGTGAACTTCGTTTTTATGAGTGTTTCAATTTACCCTCCCAAATTTGTTCATCTTTTTGCATTCTTACATGGACATGAGTTAATTCAGAGTTAAGGCATTAAATGGATTATGGATAAAACACAACGTTCCTTTTTTCAGTTAAGTTTCTCTCCAGCTTCAGATTTGTTTGCCTGGGAATCTCTTTTGCTGACTAGAGATAATCCTGTGAACCAAATGAGTTATCAAGTGTGATTTGATAAGAGAAGATCAGGTATCAGAGTCAAAGTAGAGATCAGAAAGGTTACGTGATTGTCCTTTTGACAGATCTTAGAGGAGATCCGGAACTCTAATTTGGCAAAGCTGAATTCCGGTAGCAATTGCACAGAGGAACGATTGCTCCTAGTTTCTCTAAAGCTGGCCTATTTCTACTTTTAAAACATGCGTGAATGTGCCCTTTATATATAAAGCATAATACATTGTTAACTTTATACCAGTTCTTTCTGTGTTTCCTGCTAAACCATATTAAAATTTCTTGTCCTGGGGAAATTGCTTTTTTTATTGCTCTCTAGCAAATTAACACTGTTACTGAGTTAAAGAAGTATTGCATGACTTCAATAGATGGTGCACAGTGAGTATAAGAGCTTGCTAATTCTTTTAACTTATTCTTAGTTCTTTTGGATCTTTACCATCTGAGCTGGTGTGGATGTGGTTGTTAGCCACGTGTCATCTCTCTACACTATTCATAAATATCTTGACTGTTACTTATCTTCACTAATAAGGACTAAATAGTTACTTCATGCATTCAGATACTTTATGCTGAAAAGTATGCTTTTGGAACAAGGTAACTTTCAATGTTGTCCATGTAGAATTTGGAATATATTATTTTTTTTAAATCAGCATGTGAATAATGTTTGTAGGTATCTTCCTGAAACTATTGAGCAGCACCTCAAAGTTGCATGAACTCCTCAGAAAATGTTTGGAAGGGCAATGCCAGTTATCTTGATCAGGAATCATTCCT